TGCATTAAATATATTATTTCTGTACAACATTCACAAGTACACTGTAATCATATTTTTTTTATTTACAGTTGTAGCAATAGTTTTAAATAATTACATTTAACTCGTACTCGAATTCTTTATCGTTTAATTCTTCGAATTTATTATTGTACGTTTCATTATCGTGTATTCTTTTTTTGCTATATTGCACGATAACATCGTCTAGAGAACTTCCATTTTTGTTAAATTGTAAAATAGTTGCAGTTAGCTTTTCTATTAGCCAAAGATATGAATCAGCTGATACATGAATTTTGATTTTATGTTCAAATGCTTGATACTGGTGTTTGAATTCAATGTTACATAACAAACATGTTGTATCATGACTCTGTAAATAATGTATTTTGTAGGATTGTGTACTTACAAATTTCATAACGCATGTTGCACAACTGAAACAATTATCTTTTGCAATATTATTAAATCTTTGGTACTCGTAAAGGGTAATAAGACGTCTTAGCCCTAGAAGTTTTACTATGTTTTGCTGAATGTCTTCCACTCTATTGAACATTAATTCTGCATTGGTATTGTCTTTTCTCGAATCAAAATCGCATGTAACAATGTGGAAATTTATTAGATGCTTAAGTAGTTCATTAATAGCATAGAGGCGGTTGCAAAGTTCACACACATCTACATTAATAGCATGAAACTTTTGTAAATGGAACATCATTTCTTTTTTTGTATGACACATTATATCGCAATCTTTACATTTGAACATTTCTTCCGTATTGGATTCTAAAGAGCTCATAAACTTGTTCATGAATATATGAACTGTTTCTGTAGATTCGTTTAAGTGTTTTGTATAGGAAGTAGTAGATATGTTATTTTCTGTAGGATGATCACCATTTTTTTCAGTATAACTATTAATATTGCTTTCAGCATTACTTTCAATATTACTACTTTTAGTATTTAAATTATGGAGTAGACTATTTTGTGAACTCACAGATGAGTGTACGGATACATGTTTCTCTAGCATATATTTTGTAAGAAAACTTAATTCACAAGAGTAGCATGTATATGGTCCTGCTGTCTCGAAATGATAACTTACATTATGTTGCATTAGACGTATGCCATTAATAAATTTTTGATTACATCTTTTGCAATTCCAGTATGTGACTTTGCGACCTGTGCATATATGAATGTTCACCATTCTAACAGAAGTAAGAACTTTGTTGCAATTATCACAGACATGGACAACAGATACATCTTTGTGAACGTTATATCTATGACATGCATAGCTTTTATATGATGGAAAGTTTTTCTTGCACAAATTACAATGCCGTATTTTTCTTCTGTTTATGTTGCAGTCATTAAGCATTTTGCACATTACATTTTCGTATATTCTGTTCTCTTCTTTCCTAGGTATTTCCGGTACATTTTGTTTAGGAATGTTATGTTCATTTATTAAATTCTCATCACCTAGTGTAGTTTTATTTCCATCTGCATCGTTGCTATCGCTTAAATACGGGACAAGCAGATTTGATACTTCTCGATCTTCCAAAACAGAATCATGCAGAAAGAACATGTGTTCTTTTAATAGGTCAAAAGAATTAAATTCCTTATCACATAGTTTACATCGTATTTCTTCTTGTTCACAACATACAGTTTGCTGTGCGGTAGTATCCCTTCTTAATTTTCTCATCAATTTTTGTCTTTTCACACCCGTCCTCCACATCCGGAATGCACTGTCATTATTGGAGTTGTTAAATTTTTCAGGAATGATTTCTTCTGCTGTGGTGTTGCAATTTGCTTCTTCTAGCTCCTTATTCATAACAGAACTTAATGTATCATTAGGGCGATCATTTAAGTCTTTTATATATGTTCCTGGTAGATGTGCATTATTTTCGACTTCACTCACATTGTTATCTTGCAAAATTTCTTGTAATTCTTTTCTAACATTCTTAGAATCCATTGTATGTTTAGACATGTGTGAGAGCAATGAACGTTTCTCCTTATACTTTATAGAACAAATTTCGCAGCTATATAGACATTTTTTTGGTCGTTTTTCTTTTTTTACATGTTCACATTTTTTCACTTTATCTAGGAATTGGCATGAAGTATTATGCATACGGGTGAGATGTTGCTTAAAAGTACCTTGACGATCAAATACTCTCAAACAACAACAACATTTGTATTTTTTGTATTTACTGTTTTCCTTGTCCATATTAAAATGAATAATATCAACTATATATCGCTTTTTTGTGCGCAAAAACTCATTGTTTTCGCATTGTAAATGTACATCCATTAAATGCTGTTGAAAACGTGATACAGAATACATATGCACATTGCAAACTACACATTCAATTTGTAATGGTTCATCCCTTGTAAAATTTGTTTTCGCCGAAAATTGTAGCATAAGATTAAGGACCTCTTTACATTTCACACAAATTGCTATAATGGTTGGCATTCCGCGATCTTCCTTTATATACTCCTCCATTTGTGTTTTCTTTGAATTATTTATACCTTTTATTTTGTTTTTTAAATAAAATTTATAAATATTTTCTAATAATTCATTAGTCTGTAAATGGGAATTATTATCTTGTAATGTTTCAGCTTTATCAACTTCATTATTTGTTGATATGTCGCATTCATTTCCTTCTAACTCTGAACTTTGATTTTCTACGTTATTTTCTTGTTTAATAGAGTCATTAAAATATGAACATTCCTTATTCAAGACTGACTGTGCGGTTTTAATTACCGTCAATTCATTTTTACTGTCACGTTGATATACTGCTGTGGTTGTGAAGTGCTCCTCTGTACTGAACAAACTTGATGTATTGTTATCCCTGTTTACTACCTGCTCTTCTAATCTTTGTGTAGTAAGTCGATCTATCGAAGTAAAATTATTAACATCCTGAGTTGGACACATGCTTCCTTCTTTATTTTTATGTAAATCATCTATGGTTTGGTCTTCACATTTTTTTATACTATTGTGTACCTTATTAAATTGATCATTCTTTTTTATTTTGGTAACTTTATACTGCTTACGAATAGTGCAATTTTCCTTCCTAATATTTTTTACTGTATACTGCATTTCTTTTTTTCCTGAATTCTTTATTTTATTTTCGATGTACCTTGGAGTATGTATCAGTTGAGTTATTTCAGATACAGAAAGGTATTCTAACT